GCCCTGGAATGTGCTGGAAGCTCTCCCTGGAGCCTTCCCTTCTCCAGACTGCCCAACACCACCCCTCTCCTGCTCCAGGGAGCGACTTTCCCTCCCCATCCCCATGTCCCCGCGCCGTACCGGGCAGCCCTCGGGGAAGCGGTCGGTGGTGCACTTGAGGAAGTCGGGCCAGCCGCGCTCGCGCTCCACGATGATGCAGGGAGTCCGGGTGGCCTGGCAGAGGGTCTGGCTGGGCAGCTCCACCTGCCCATCCTCGCACTTGGGCATGTAGACGGCGCAGAGCAGGGGCTGGATGACGTCCCAGCAGCGTGGGGCGTTGCGCAGGCCTGTGGGGAGGGGACAGCACTGTCACCACCCCCGGCACAGCCACCTCCTGCTGTCCCCACGGCACCCAGAGGGCACTGGGACCCCTCTGTGGGGCTCTCCTGCTGTCCCCACAGCGCTGGGACCCCTCTGTGGGGCTCTCCTGCTGTCCCTGCACCCCAATCTCCTGCTCCCCTCCACGTTACATTTTCTCCCCTCCTATACAGCTTTCTATACTGTCCCCATCCCCAGACACCCATTATACTGCTCCCCTCTACACTCCACCTATCCCCAGCCCCTTTTTAATCAGTTTTCTATACTGTAACCATCCCTTGCACCCCACTAGAGAGTTTTCTATACTGCACCCACCCCTGGGCCTGTGCTAGCCCATAAATTACCTGTACCCTAATCTACTCCTGCCCTCTGCGCTGTATCTCATCCACAATGTTTTCTTACACAGTTTTCTACACTGAACTCATTCCCCAGCCCCCTGGATGCACTTTTCTATACTGTACTCATTCCCAGCCCTGTGCTGTAAAGTTTTCTGTACTTTACCTATCCCCACTCCCCCTCTATACAGTTTTCTGTACTCTACCCATCCCCAGCCCTGTGTTAGACACTTTTCCATACTGTACCCATCCCTGGCCCTTTGCTATAAAGTTTTCCATATTGTACCCATCCCCAGCCCCCCTCTATGAAGTTTTCCATACTGTACCCATCCCCAGCCCCCCTCTAAGAAGTTTTCTATACTGTCCCCATCCCCAGCCCTCCTCTATGAAGTTTTCCATACTGTACCCATTCTTATGTAAAACTCAATAAAGTTTTCTATACTGTACCCATCTCCAGCCCTTTGCTATAAAGTTTTCTACACTGTACCCATTCTTATATAAAGTTTTCTATACTGTACCCATCTCCAGCACCCCTCTATGAAGTTTTCTATACTGTACCCATTCCCAAACCCCCTCTATGAAGTTTTCTATACTGTACCCATCCCCAGCCCTCCTCTATGAAGTTTTCTATGCTGTACCCATCCCCAGCCCCCTGCTATAAAGTTTTCCATACTGTACCCATACTCAGCCCTGTGTTAGGCACTTCTCCATAGTGTACCCATCCCCAGCCCCCCCACACTACACCCAAAGCTCCCCCCCAACCCCCGTTCCCCCGCCCTTCACCGCTCCCCATCCCCCTCCAGCCCCATCCCGGGCCTCTCCCTCGCTCTCCCCGCTCCCGGTACCGTCCCGTCCGTACCGGACCAGAGCAGCAGCTTCCCGTGCGCCTCCTCCTGCGAGGCGGAGTCGGTGGCCAGCAGCGTGGAGGTGGCGGTGTAGGGCAGCGCCGAGCCCAGGCAGGCGCCGAAGCGGAGCCGCTCGCAGGGCGCGGGGCGGCGGCAGCGCGGGGGCCCGGCCGAGGCGTTGTGGGCGGCGGGGCAGCGGCCGCCCAGAGCCAGCGCCAGGGCCAGCGCCAGCGCCCAGCGCCGCCCGCCGCGGCCCGGCCACATCGCGGCGGTGCTCGGCGGGCTTAGGGCGGCTCGGAGCGGGGCGAGGGGCCCGCCATGGCCCCGCCGCCTTTGTTGGGCTCGCCGGGAGCGAGCGGAGCGGCCCCGCTGCTGCTGCTGCTGCTCCTCCTCCTCCTCAGCCGCCGCCGCCCGCGGCACGGCCCGGCCCGCGCCCCCCGCCGGGGCGGGCTGAGGGAGGGACCGCGGGGGAAGCGCTGCGGAGGGTAAGAGAGGCGATTTGTGAGGGGAAAGGAGCTTTTTGTGAGGGAAAAAGTGGCTGAAAAGTGAGGGGAAAGTTTTCTTTCTGGGAGGAAAGGGTCCCCTTTTGTCAGGAAAAAGTTCTACCCCTGAGGAAAAAAGTCGCTTTGTGGTCAGGAAAAGTTTTCTTTTTCTGAGGAAAAGTTCCGTTTTGTGAGGATTAGGTCGCTTTTTGTGCTTTTTGTGAGGAGAAAAGTGGTTTTTTGTGAGGGAAAAAGTCGCTAAAAAGTGAAGAGAAGTGCTTTTTTTGAGGGGAAGGAAAGAGTCCCCTTTTGTAAGGAGAAAGTTCTTCCCGTGAGGAAAAAACTTGCTTTTTGGTCAGGAAAAGTTTTCTTTTTGTGAGGAAAAGGTCGCTTTTTGCGAGGAAAACGTGGCGTTTTTCCTGAGGGAAAAAGTGGGGGTTTTTGTGAAGGAAAAAGTTGCTAAAAAGTGAGGAGAAATGCTTTTTTTTTTTTTGAGGAAATAGTCAACTTTTGTGAGGAGAAAGTTCCTCTTGTGAGGAAAAAAAGCGATTTTTGGTCAGGAAAAAATTTGTTTTTCTGAGGAAAAGTTCCTTTTTGTGAGGAAAAAGTGTCTTTTTGTGAGAAAAAAGTGGCTTTTTTTGTGAGGGAAAAAGTCGCTGAAAAGTGAGGGGAAAGTCTTTCTTTTGGGGGGGGGGTTAAAAAGTCCCCCTCACAAAAGGCCTTTGTGAGGGAGAAGTTCCTTCCATGAGGAAAAAGTGGCTTTTTTTGAGGAAAAAGCCACTTTTTGTGGGGAAAAGATTCCTTTTTCTGAGGGGAAAGTTCATTTTTGTGCGGAAAAACTCACTCGTGAGGGAAAAAGTCACTTTTTGTGAGGGAAAAGTTATTTTTTCTGAAGAAAAAGTTTCTTTTTATGATAAAAAAGTCACTCTTGTGAGGAAAAAGTCCCTTTTTGTGAAGAAAATGTCCTTTTTGTGAGGAAAAAAAGTCACTGTTTGTTGGGGAAAAGTTCATTCTCATGAAATAAAGGTCCAATTTTGGAAGGAAAAAGCCATTTTTGTGACAAAAACATCACTTTATAGGAAGAAAATAACAATTTTGTGAGGGAAATGTTCCTTGTGAGGTAAAGGTCCTTTTTTTTCTGTGAAATAAAATGTGATTAAAAGGCTTTTGTGAATAAAAAGTTACTTTTTGGAGGTGAAAACTTGACTTTGGGGGAAAGAAGCCACTTTTGGGAGTAGAAAAATGTGGGTTTGGGGGAAGAAAAGTCATTTTTGAGGGGGATGAAAAGCAATTGATTGGGAGAGAAAAATTCCATTTGTGGATAAATCTCATTTTGGTAGGAGAGAAGTCACTTTTTTAAGGGAAAAGTTACTTTTTGGGAGGTAAAAGTCACTTTTTGGGGACAAAAGACACTTTTCTGGGGAAAAAAAAAGTTAATTTTTGAGCAGGGAGTACTCTTTCTGGTGAAAAAATCAATTCTAGGAGAGAAAAGACAATTTTGGGGGGAGAGAACTTGATTTTTGTGGGGGAAGGTTCCTTTTTTTAGGGGTAAGTTACTTTTTCGGGAGGGAAAAATAAGTTTGGGGGAGACAAAAGACTTTTGGGGGAAGAAAAGTTGCTTTTTGGGGAGAAAACAGTGGTTTCTTTTGAGAGGAAGCCACTTTTCTGGAGAACAGCTACTTCTTAGAGTTATTTTTTGGGGGAGAAGTAGCTCTTTGGAGGGCCAGTTTTGGGAAGAAAAGTGAGTTTTGGAGGGGAAAAAAATCACTTTTTTTGCGGGTAGGTGTCATTCCTCAGAGAAGCAATCGCTTTTGGGGGAAAAAATGACATTTTGGTAGGGGGATGAGGTGGATTTTGAAGGGAAAAAAAAGCCAAAAAAAAGGGATTTTTTTTTTGTTTGTTTTTAATGGGAAAGAAGCGTCCCGGCCGCACACAAAGAGCCGGGGGTTGGCCGCATCCCGGCTCCCTCCGCGGGAGGGACCACCCAGCCCGAGCAGAAGGGAAAATTAAAAACAAAACAAAACGAAATAAAAAACCCCAAAAAGCCGACCCTAAAAAACTCCACCCACGGGTTTGCGACAGCTCCGAGAGGCCGGGCCAGGCCCAGGCGCCTCAGCCGCTTTTCCCCGCTTGTTTTGGGGTCTCACAACAGCAGCGCAGGGCCACGGGGTGGCCTCGGTGTGTCCCCAGGGCCACCACGGTGTCCCCTGAGTGTCCCCAGAGCCACCACAGTGTCCCCTGTGTGTCCCCAGGGCCACCACGGTGTCCCCTGAGTGTCCCCAGAGCCACTGCAGTGTCCCCTGCGTGTCCCCAGAGCCACCACGGTGTCCCCTGAGTGTCCCCAGAGCCACCACAGTGTCCCTTGCGTGTCCCCAGAGCCACTGCGGCATCCCCTGCGTGTCCCCAGAGCCACCACAGTGTCCCTTGCGTGTCCCCAGAGCCACTGCGGCATCCCCTGCGTGTCCCCAGAGACACCACAGTGTCCCCTATGTGTCCCCAAAGCCATTGCGGTGTCCTTGGGGACAAAAGACACTTTTCTGGGGATCCCTTGCGTGTCCCCAGAGCCACTGCGGTGTCCCTTGCATGTCCCCAGAGACACCACGGTGTCCCCTGAGTGTCCCCAGAGACACCACAGTGTCCCCTGTGTGTCCCCAGAGCCACCACGGTGTGCCCTGTGTGTCCCCAGAGCCACCACGGTGTGCCCTGTGTGTCCCCAGAGCCACCACGGTGTGCCCTGTGTGTCCCCAGAGCCACCACGGTGTGCCCTGTGTGTCCCCAGAGCCACCACGGTGTGCCCTGTGTGTCCCCAGAGCCACTGTGGTGTCCCTTGCGTGTCCCCAGAGACACCGCGGTGTCCCCTGTGTGTGCCCAGAGCCACCACGGTGTCCTGTCCCCTGTGTGTCCCCAGAGACACCGCGGTGTCCCCTGAGTGTCCCCAGAGCCACCACGGTGTCCCTTGCGTGTCCCCAGAGCCACCACGGTGTCCTGTCCCCTGTGTGTCCCCAGAGACACCGCGGTGTGCCCTGCGTGTCCCCAGAGCCACTGCAGTGTCTCCTGAGTGTCCCCAGAGCCACCACGGTGTCCCCTGAGTGTCCCCAGAGCCACCAGTGTCCCTTGCGTGTGCCCAGAGCCACTGCGGCGTCCCCTGCGTGTCCCCAGAGCCACCACGGTGTCCCCTGAGTGTCCCCAGAGCCACCACAGTGTCCCTTGCATGTCCCCAGAGCCACTGCGGCATCCCCTGCGTGTCCCCAGAGCCACCACAGTGTCCCCTGAGTGTTCCCAGAGCCACCACAGTGTCCCTTGCGTGTTCCCAGAGCCACCATGGTGTCCCCTGAGTGTCCCCAGAGCCACCACGGTGTCCCCTGCACGGCCTGGCAGAGCTCGGGGCCTCGCGTCTTTATTGTCCATGAAAGCCAAGAAGCAGCAGAGCACCCGCAGAGCCCGCAGCTGTCCCCACACCTGGGGACACCGAGATGGACACCGGACCCTGGGGACTGTCCCCAGACACCTGGCTGTGGGGGATTGTCCCCAAACACCCAGCCATGGGGAATGTCCCAAAACACCTGGCTGTGGGGGATTGTCCCCAA